TAACCTTATGTAATGTTAAAGACATGTAGGTCTCCACCTGAGTTGTGAGCGGAGCAGCTCAGCAGGTACGTTGAGCTTTAAGTCGGACTTGTCAGCATTGTGAAGGCGTAACTGATGCTGTGGAGTTGGTCTATATTGATAGCATGTATTGTTATTGTTATTGTTATTGTTGTTGTTGTTGTTGTTGTTGTTGTTATTAAAGGAGTTTGTGTGTGTTACAGCACTATTAAAAGACCAAGAAAACTGGTATCTCCACAGTGACTGTGTGTTTGCCCAGACTGGAGAACCAGGTTTTCACCCAGCTGTTGGACATTAAAGGTCAATAAAATTAATGAGAACAAACAGAGTAAAGCCTCAAGGGTCCACTGAGGGCTTTCAGGCACATTCATGGTCCTCATCAGCAGACGGAGTCACATAAAGTCAGTAAGTTGAGCTTCAGTTGGACTCATCAGGTAAAAGCTGAACTTTGATGTTTGAACTTAAACAGAAGCGTCGTTCTCTTATCACAGCTGAGATAAATGAAGGCTTCCAGCAGTGTTGGAGCTTTCAGCTGACCACCTGGTCTTCATCAGGCGCTCAGTGTTCAGGAACACCGACTGATTTCGTCATCTCCAGCCAGTGTGGAGCCCAAACATCTGAGTAAGTGGTGCTTGAGTTGGGTTTGTTTGCCACAAAGAAGTGTTCCGTCTAAACCTTGTATCTCCAAACGTTCTCAGCAGAAACAGACGATGAACATTCAGCAGAACAAAACTAAACCCAGATGGAGAACATCTGAGTAAACCTCCAGAAAAGTTCCAGAAGACAGTTCAGAACTCCATTCAGAATCTGTGTGACGGTGTTTTCCTTCAGAGCCAGTGATGCTCGTACATCCATGAACAGGACTCAGGTGTGACTTTAAATTATACAAGTTGATGCAACACTGATAAAAAGGTTCATCTGCTCTCATCGTTATCTGGCAGTTACGCAAGGACGTGGTTGTGGAGGCGGTTGTCGGTTGCTTGCGTGACTTTAGCGTGTGGGACACGAGTCATGGCAGCAGATGTTTGCTTGGTGCGTGGACGGTAAACAGACCAGAACACGCTGCAGCTCCACCAAGGTGACCCGGCAGCCTCGAGTCTGTCGGTCAAGTTCCCGCGTCTCTGTAATCTGTGGCTGTGGGACATCCAGGCGAGGCCGGGGGTCACGCTGCAGATAAAGCTGATCTGGGACACGTGAGCCGAGGCTCGGCCCCCGCGGGACGCCATGCGTGTCAAACGGCGCCGGGATTAAGGGAAAGGGGTTAGAACTGCAGCTCAGCAGGTGTGTTCGCAGCAGCAGGTAATCGTGTCAGACAGGTGACGGCGCTTCGCTGTGCTGCTGACCTGATCCTGCCGAGGCTCAAAGTCACCGAGGAGCCGATCCTCCGGCAGAAAGGCTGCAGCTGCACTTTGTCTTTTCTCTTCTGCCATTTGTGTCCCAGACGTGGTTTAACGTCAGAGAGAGAAAGACTCAAACGTGTCTCTGCTGTCTGTCTCGGTTTTGTATCTTGTGATTCTCCTTTTGTCTAATTCTGGTATTTTGTCTCGTGTCCTGTTCTGTGGTTGTTGTCCTGGTTGGGTCCCACGCTGCAGCTTGCTGTCATGAACTGGTTCGGTTTTGTTACTGGAACCAACGTTTACCGTTTCACTGGACCTCCTGCCTCATACTGAGCCTGAACCATCTCATGCGCTCTGTTAACGGCATAAAATGACACGTGAAAAGCTTAAAAAGCTTAAAAATAGGAGGTTAAAGGGTGACCCCTCAATGCTGCAGCTTCACACGGAACCAACCAGAACACTGGCGTTCCCTGCAGCTCGGTTTCTGATCACTCAGGATCCATTTAGGAAACATCTGAGCTGAGACCAGAGAACAAGTGAACTTATTTATTTGCTCCTTGTGCTCTCAGACGCCTGACTTTATCGGGTTTTATTGTGTTGAGTCGTTTGATTTGGATTTCCAGGTA